CGTCGGTGGTCGACGTTAGTCCGACGGAGTAGTAGTACTACTAGGTGGTCGACGACCGACCACGTACCTACTACCTACCTACGTAGTACTAGTCGTCGTACTCGTCTCGTAACTACTTCTTCTCTCTCTCTCTCTCTCTCTCTCTCTCGCTATATATATATATATATATATATGGAAGATACTATAAAACGGCTATTGGCGAAAATGAACAGTGATTTCGCCTACCCTCATTACCATCCAAACTTCATCGCACGGTCACAGTTGTGCTGTAATGTTTCATTTTTCATTTTTTTTTTACACTAATCGGAATGATCTGAAATTTGGAGCGTGTGTGCATTTTAGAGATGCGTACTTAATAAAAATGTAAAAAAAATAATTTATGGGGGTATTTTGATCAATTTATATTTTACAAGTTATTTTTTTCATATTTTTATTAGATCTGCTCACTAACATGTACACACGTTCTAAATTTCAAGTAATTTGGATTTGTGGAAAAAAAAATGAAAATTGAAACACTACTGGACAACTGTGACCGTGTGATGAAGTTTGGTGATGAGGGTAGGCGAAATCACTGTTCATTTTCGTCAATAGGCGTTGGGAAGAGTTTTTCTATATATATATATACATATGGGTGCAGTTTGTATAGAGCCGAGGCTTTAAATAATCAAAGTAGAGCGCACTTTCAAATAGTATCGAGAAATGTGGTTTCAATACTGAAAATCTTTGTGATAGCTTTAAAATATATTTTCGACTCTAATTATAAAATTTAAAGCTTCAAAAACAATGTAGATTGAGCAGATCTATGAAATCTTGAAAATTGACGCTCCAAAATTACGTTACAAGATGCACTATTTCCAAAACTTGAAATCCATTTTTTCTCATGTCTATACATCTTGATGTCGAGATGATCAATTTGAGGATATGGCTATCAAAACAATCTCTTCTAGTTAAATTTTTTGAGGTGAGCTCTAATTTGATTGTTTAAAGCCTTCATTCTATATAAACTTTTCCCTATATATATGTGTGTGTGTGTGTGTGTGTTAGGGTGCTCACACTATGGAGTAATTTATCATTGTACTTAACAAAATTTGGACACATATATACCCTTGTTATATATATAGAACTTTTTTTAGTATGAGTATTTTTTGTACTTAGGAGGGGTGTGACATCATCCACATGGAGCACATTTAATACTTCATGTGGGTGATGTCACATCCAAATGTGCTCCATGTGGATGACTTCACACCCCTCTTAATGAGAAAAAATATCCTTATTAAAAAAATGCTCCATGTACAAAATAAGGGTATAGAAGTGTCCAAACTTGTTGAGTACAATGATAAATTACTACATAG